CTGGCCTATGCAAATCATGTAATGGAACCTAAGGCTCATTATTTAGGAGAAGAGTGCTATAAACATGCATGTAATACACTGCTACTTCTGTGTAAAATGTGTCTACGTTCTGTCATAAACATTTTGCTGCAAAAATATAATAAATATGAGCTGTTAATATCAACTCTTGATGTTCTTCATAGCCCTCAACAAGAAGTACAGAATATCTTTAAAGCAAACCATCCAATGGATGCTGAAATTACAAAGGCAAAAGTAGGTATAATGATTTATGTTTCTTCTTGCCTGGACGATTATATTTCACCTTCCAGCACAATTGCTTCTATGACATCAAAATTTATAATAATGGAAAATAAAGCCATTGCCATTAATTTTTTTAAAACACCTGATAATGATAGTAAAGTTAAACTATGAACATAAAAGGTTACACATCTATCCTTTTTTTAAATAAATGTCTGGACATTAGGGGACAAACCAGCAAGGAACTCCATTACTTGGTAACTGTATAGTAGAAAATCTGCTTTGTTTCTTACATACTGTAAATACCTAGAAACAGCCAAAAGTTTGTTCTGTTCTACCAACATAGGTATTTCGGTTCTTCTTAATTTTGGTATCTTTTTTCCTTTGCCTCTTGAAGGAGTCTGTTTTATTCATTACGAAGCAGAAATTTGTTAGTAAGCTCTATGTGCTTACCAAAATGAAAAGGTGCCTCAAAAAAATAAACATAAAGCTAATGAACTATCAGATCTAAAAAAGACAGAAGACATCTGCAAGCTTATTTCTTCTCTAGTGGCCTTTTGTTAATCAACAGCTGTTCAAAATAATACACCACATTATTTGTGCATTCTGACAATCTTTGAAATGCACCATTCCTTTGCCTATATTTTATTAGCTGATTCTCAATTATTCTTGTCTCTTAGTGCCCAAGTCAGCATTATTTATGGCTAAATGTTTTATGATTGATTTGCTAGTTTATTTTATCTGGGAAAGTTGGTTTGGATATTTGATTTTGCCGTAACACCATATTTCTTTCTTTAGTCCAAACTTCTGCATTCTCCCTAATATGGAATCTATCTGAGTCTTAAGTGTGGCTGAGGAATTCTGGGAGTTGAAGTCCACAAGTCATAAAAGGGCCAAGTCTGAAGACCCCTGATCTATCATATACATTTTATATGTCCTCCTCCTTCCTTTCTCCATTTGCATGCTGTTCAATTGCTTTCAGTTCAATTGAGTAAAATTAAGTAATTCAGCTTTTAAGGAGATATGTTAAGTAAAATTAAATCCTCTATTATAGATCATTGGCTTTGGCACAGCTCTGCTGGAAGAAGTGGATCCTAACCCTGCTAACTTTGTAGGTGCTGGCATAATATACACAAAATCAATACAAATTGGATGTTTGATGCGTCTTGAACCCAACCTCCAGGCAGAGGTAATCCATGTTTATTTGCTTATCAAACCAAGAGCGTGTATAGTATGGAAGACACTTAATTTTTCCCATGTGTATTTTTAAAGAAATCTTTTCTTTAAAGTAAAATAGAAAATCTACTGTTTTTTATTAGATTAGTGATGAATATTCTTTCTCCTTTTGTTCACCAAATGAAGACATAGTGCTTCATTGAAGATTTTGCTCTAACAATATACGTCCTGAGTGGTATCAACTAAGACAACGCATACATACATTTTATAGCTCTTCCAATACTAGCTTTGCCTTGCATTCATTGTACAGCCTATATAGAAAAATGAGTTTCTGCAAAGTTACATTCAGAGTGTTATATAATATTAATCAGGAAGGTCAATTGCATTGGGAGGGAGCACCATTCTAAAACAGGTTTTGTTTTGCTCTTTTGTACTGTTGCTTTCCGTTCCATATATCTTGTGTCTGCCAGGAAATAAACTATGTTTTTGGCCAAAATGTATGGACCACTTGCGATACGTTGTTTAGATGTTGTTTGAAGTTTTGCATAACAGTCAGATTTTTTGTGGTAGGAGCAGAGGAGGCAGGAAAAGATTGCTGAGTGAGGAAGAAATCTTAATATGGGATTCTCTGCTAAAGCAGGGTTATGCAACATCTTTAAGTCAGTGAACATATTTGGAATTTTGGAAGCAATTTATAGGTATTGTACTTTCACAGAGTGGCTGTGGTGCCCGTTTACCAGAAGGCAAAGATACTTCTCACTATCAATGCTCTATATTACCCATTTCTATTTTTTTCTGGACATACAACTGCCAGTCACTTCTATTTTCTAAGAATACCTAGAGGTTCTAGGAATGTAAGTAAAGGGAAAACTTCATAATGATGCTTAATTCTACAACTCAGATCATTTTATTTTATTCTAAATACATGTAATCCCATTGATTACTATTGAACTCTTTTATAAAAAAATAACTTCTTTTCTCTTTAAGCTAAAAATGTTCTTCAGAAGTTCAGACTAGGTAGCTTCGCCTCCACTGCAATCCTTTTTTTTTTAATCTTAAACATCACCTTATGATTCTAAAATGTCTAAAATTGTTACAGAAAACACTTATAAGCAGGGTAGGAATTTTGGCGGTTTTAAAGCCGTTCTTTATAAAAGTTATTTTTTATTATTTTTCAGATGTACCGATTAACACTACGAACAAGTAAAGAAACAGTCTCACGAAGATTATGCGAATTGTTGTCAGAACAGTTCTGAATCTAAACTCAAGACCAGCTTTGATTCTTTCTTTCTGCCTGTTTTCTTGTCCTGCTCCAGGAATGTTCTGTGCACCAGTGTCTGCATAAATAACTGCCATCACATTCACATTCCTGCCTTAAAGGACCTGTCCCTCTTATGTGAATAAAAGATATGTGTAATGTAAAGTTACCTAAATGTGAAAATATTTCTGGCACAAGGAAGCCAGGAGGCATTGTGTTTGTCACCTCCACTATTTCAGGCATTTTGTCAGACGTTGGTTTCATGATGACTTACTTTGATTAACAATGATCTAAATGAAAGGTGTTTTTCTCCCCCCAGAAATTCCAATGTAAATTGGAAATAACATTGTGGTTTCTTCTCCTATCCCTGTATTGCCCCAGCAGTAATCAGTAAAGTTCTGTTTGATGAGACTGCAGTAGCCATCTTGCTGCTGTACTCTTTGTCAATCTTAGATGGATCAACTTTTGAGAATGTCCAGGACTGGGAATCCAGGACTGTTGTAATGAATCTCACAAGTGTTGCTTTTTCATAATAGGCTATGGGCATTGACCTTGAGTACAGTACATAGAGGCATTAGGATATTATTTCCCCCTACCTCAAGCAATTTGTTTTAAACAGCTTTAATTCACCCTTCCATTTCCTCCAAATTATGAATTACCAAAGAGTAAATGTCTTATCAAACGCTGAAATAAAGAGTCAGAATTATTAGATTCACTATTTCTACAGAACTCTAGTTAATCCATTGTTCACTTGGATTGTAAATTTTTTAAAAAAATTCACATGGAGCTACACTAAAAAATTCTCAGAGAATCTGTTTCTATATTCTCTAGCCCTGGCTGTTATTATTGATAGGCAATTTTGATGTAATATTTTTGTTAGCATATGGGTGGTCACACAGATACAGACATCTAGTATATTCAGGTCCTAAGTAAATCATTAGCTGTTGAAAGTATAATGGCCTGATAATTGCTTTTTTAACATCACAAAGTTGGGTGCATTATTTTCAAAAAGTCTAGCAATGATATGGTGTACTTGGCATGAGATATGCATTTGTAATATATTATAGATATTAAGTCTGACATCCTTTTCAGCAAGTAGAAATAAGTTTCAATCACACTTCTCTGAAAGGATTCCAAAATGGTTATCACGGTCACTCAGTAAAACAAGAAAAAATAAGCAATGGTGTCTTTATTGCAATAAATGTCCTTGGGAGTTTAATCAGTTTTTTTTAAAGATAAAATTGCATGTCTGGCTTACAAAACAGTTATCTAAATTCCTCCGAGTACTGACTTACTGGTTTTTTGCAAACTTCTTTAGGTAAAATTGTTGGGCTCCACTGAATTAGCACATTTTGATAAATGAAATGGAATTAATTTGGTGATGTAATAAAACTAGGATACCTTCCAATATTCCCCCTCTCTCTGGAGGAATCCTAAGAGTGGTCATCACAATGAACAGATTAATGCGTCCTCATTTTTCACATGGAACTGGAAGCCATTAAAACAAGGGATAATTAGAAGCTTATCATATAACATATTAAGAAGGTCTGCCATTTAACTTTTAAAGAGATCTGAAGGCACTGAGGTTGCACTTATTTAATACCATGGCAAATACCACAGTGGTTATCACTGTGCAGTTGTGAGCAAATGTGATTTATCCATAAAAAGATGAAGATTCCAAATCAGCTGTTCATATAATTTGTGCTTCCCTAATGAGGAACAGAGAATTGAAGTACTGGTATATACAATTTATCTTTATTGGGAAAAATTACTTGATTACCAAAGTTATATATTCTCTTTATCAATCAGAAATAATACTTTTTGTGGCTAAAACAGTATTAGTAATCCAAGTGCAGTATTTGTTATTGACATGTGAAAGATTCCTCAACTGGAAGATAAAATGCTGTAAACCTAGGTCTACACTCCGGTATCTATGTATAACCATTTCAGTATATAAAAAGTGAATTTTCAGCTTATATGGTCAACTTTCATTATAAGTGTATGAATCTGAAAATACATAAATCTAATCATGTTACCTTTAGCAGAAAAAATAAATGGCTAGAAGACTAAAATTGTTTCCTCATTCTTGGTTTTAAGAACTTTCAATGCGTCTATTTTTTTAAAAAAGTAATCTCTTTTCACAACAAAGTGAAATCACAGCTACCTGTTCTTTAGCTGGAGTTGGTCTTCATACCCATTGAGTTCTCCCCAAGAACGTAGGATGTTGTAATACATTGGTGTGCATGTGTATCATTATGGTTGGTCACAAAGATGTTTAGACTGGATTTCACATTTTTATCCACCTATTGAGTCCTTCCCAAGGATCTGGGAAAGGCAGATATTATTTGATGGTGTTAAAAAGTATCATTACAGTATGTAAGCTGTTCTAAGTAAAGCTGCCTTTTGCAATTGACTGATGGTGATTTTGTCAATGCTAATGGTGGTGCTTCAGACTCAAGGTGCTATTACTATTGATACTATACTATCTTTGCTTTCTTTTCCCACAATTGTACTATTTCTATTTGTAAGTCTTCATATTTTATAATTTTCTCCAGTTCTTTCTCTTCCCTTTTGCTGTCTTTAGGTATGCCTGCTCTCCAGACTTTTTTGTCTTATCAAGCGTTTTTACGTCTGGGTTTTCATGTGACAGGTGCTTGTTTGTTTGAATTCTGAAGCACTTTAGCTTCTTCATTTTCTATTACAGATAGTCCTCAAGTTATGATGGTAATGGAGTCTGCCCATTATAGTTGCAAGTCATCATGGTCATTAAATGGGGCACCACTTTCCACCCCTTGGGGTCCTCACAAGCTTTGGATTGGCTCCCCCCCATACTGTTTCTCCTCGGGCTCTTGATCTACTCCCAACCTAGCCACTCAGCCATCCAAGGGAGCGTAGGCTGGCTCAAAGGCTAGTGGGGCACGAGAAACTGTTGCAGCTTGCAAGACTCAATTTGTTCCTCAGCCAGCTCCAGGACACAGTAACATCTTGTTTACTTTTTAGTTTCTGATAGAGAGGTCCAGTTGATGTGAGGCTCAGCTTTCCTACAGAGCACCCTTGTGCCATTCATCATTTGCTCATATATATGCAAAGATGAATAAGTCACTAAACTCTGGTACATATTTCTGTTTTGGAAGCATGCACTCTCAGCTTATCACAATATAGCTCGCAGTCATCACAATTGGAACCAGTAACTTGATCGTTCAGCGATGCAATTGTTAAGTGAAACCACAACTGTGCTTAACGATACTACTTGAACTTTACTTCCTTTCACAGACCTGCAAAGCTCTGCAGGAATTGCAGAGAATTAGCCGTAAACTCATTTTTTTCATCACAGTCTTAATTGTGAATGGTTGCTAAAGAAGGACTCTACCTGTTAATTCTTCTTGGAAACTGATCCTGACTCAGAATTTATTTTTTTAGAGCAATCCAGACCAAAATTTCTATCTCATGTTTTACCATATATTTAATCTGCCCAAATAGGTCCTCTTCAGTAGCTTACCAGGTAGGGAGAAGTAAGAAAAGTATGTTCTCCTTATTCTCTGGTTTTACCTATCATTAATTTCAGCCTCATCCAGTGGCAAAGATGCATTGCTTTTTTTTTTGTTTACAAATTATCTTAATATAACAATACAGGTCTTGGTCAACCTTGAAAGAAATAAAGTGAGAATTTAGGCTTGGTTTTATAGTGTTAGGAATATGCTAAGAAACTGATTGCTTTCAACTAACTAATGTGAACATAATTTCGTGTATTATTGCTCTTATAGAAAGAACATGACTTATGCCTTCAACTCACATCTTCTATTTGGTTAATGATATTGTTTTAATATGTTCCTATCCAATTGGCTTTCCACAGTATATTCCCATGGGCTGCTTTTGTACATGGACAGTACATGACCTTCCATAATCAAGCTGTTTCTGATAATTTCATCCAGAAATTCCTGCTATGGACTTTTCAAAAATACTCCATTCCATTCAATTCCATTTCAATTTTTTGGGTCCTCTTCTAAAAAGGTAATATTTGATTTCCACAAATGATACTAAATTCAATTATAGTAGCTGAATATCCTCAATTATTTTAATATGTGTTTACCTGCAGGGAGGAAAGTGCTGATTTTTACTTCTGTAAGTCTGCTCTAACAATATGAGGCTCTGTATCGTGAAAGATTCCATTTTGATAAATACAAAAATGAGCGTTTGAAGAATGAATTTGCCATTAGATTATAGGATTAGGAAGATCTCTCAGTTATTCACCATTGGAAACTAAAAAGCCAGCTAATATCTTTATTAAAACAGTCAAATTACTTTACACAAGTAGGTAGGACATTAATTTGTTGAAAGCCTTATATATAAGGCAAAAATTCATTTCATTTTGCTATCTCCCAAATAATAAATTAACATAATTTGTTATCAGCACTGCTCTTAAAAGAGTAGCTGCCTTCTCAGTGTTTGGACAAATTGATATAAACAAAAGGACTCTAATTCCAGACTTTAGGTATAATGTAAATAGCAACTGATGGTTTAAATATTACTTCATGTTTGATCCTGGTGAATTTGGTTAGTTACACATCCCTCAAATTCGCATACACATTCTCCAAATATAAGGATATGTGTAAAAAGTGGTTCACTTGGGTTATTTGGATTGGGGCATGGCAACTCTATTTCCTTCTTGTAGAAAGTTTTTGGCACGCAGCACTCACATTGTTTTTCTATCCTTGCATTCCTCTGCCTGTGAATAAGAAAAGCCTTATTTTAGATAAGGTATACATGTGTACCAAGTTACTTATTTTAAAAATACAGAAATTGTTTTCTTGGATATTGTAAATGTAAGAAATGATTAATAATTAACATTAATACTATTGACTAAGTAACTCAACAGGAAAATAGTTTGATATAGAGCAAATTGTACCACTTTCTGTCCATAAAGACATCCGAAACTTAGGTAATGCATCATGTCAATGAGAATTCTTTACATATATTTATGTAAAAATATGAGGTACGTATGTGTGTTTGTGTGTGTGTGTATCCCTATATAAGAGATGGTAGCCCTTTGAAAAACTTCTAAAAATGCCTCTAAAAGTTTTAAGCATTATGAAAGGGAAACATACTTTTAAATTTTTCTGAGTACTATGTGGAATATCACACCTGCTTACATCACATTCATACTATTTCATTCCCGTGATCAAGCCAGCTTTTTAAACCTAGCTAAACAATACTACACCAAATTACGCTATACCAGAGGTCCCCAATCTCTGGGCCATGACACACTACCGGGCTATGTTCTACTTGGAAGTGGGCCACACAAATGGTGGGCCAGTAAGCACAAGTTGAGCTGCCTGTGCATGTGCACAAACCTGCCACTTGCGTGGCCCGGTTCCCCTCTCTCCCCCTCCCAGCTGGGCCACCAAGCTGCAAAAGTTGGGGACCGCTTCACTATACTATAGGTGGTCCTCCTTTAATGACCACTCATTCAGTGACTGGACTTATGACAGCAATGAATGAGTAGTGCTTATGACTAATTCTTGTACTTAGAGGGTGATCATGATCCAGAAGATCAGCACTTGGCTTGCAGTCATGCCATTGCAGTGTCCTACAGTGATGTGATCATCACTTGCAACCTTCGCTGCTGGCTTCCAACAAGCAAAGTCAATGGGGAAGCCGGCAGATGGTTGCTAATGGTGATCCTGTGACCTTGCACTTAACAATGTTGTGTGATTCATGTAATGATGGCCACCAGAAGTGCTGGAACTCCCATCACTAAGCAGTGCGATCTTATGATGTTGTGCTTTACAACAGTATTATTTAGCAACGGAAAATCCAGTCCAAATTACTGTTGTTAAGTGAAGATTAGCTGTACGTGAAACTACTAAACTACAGGAACTTTAGGAAAGGTATGTTCAGATTATAAGTAGAGATTAAGCTCTTCTTTTATTGATCTTTCATTATAGATAAGTAAAAAATAATCTGCCACTCATATATAAGCTATAACTGGAAAAATAAATTGAAGCATTGTACTAATACGACTTCTAATCAAGTAGTAGGCTTTATGGTTGCTGGAAAGTATGCAATATTATCTTATTTACCTTGTTAATGATGGACACGTGCCTTCACAGCGGGTTAAAGTAATATTTGCAACACAACTCCCATAAGTCACTTGCTCTTCATATTCAACAGGATAACATCTGCCTGTAAAACATTAAAAACAGTAGTTAATGTAAATGTAAGAACTCTGTCTCCCTTTGGCATTAATATGCTTTGGACTTATTTTTACTACAAAGAGCTATTGCCCAGAGGGCTAATACACAACACAGTACAGAACATAGTAAGTGCTAGATGTTATTACTATTGATCTTTGATTTAAACAATATATTAATAAATGCAGTTCTTATTGCTAAAGATCACATAACATATTTAACACAATGTTGAAAAACAACATAATTATTTGACTTTAGAGAATTGGTCATAAAATATGAGCGATAGCTTTCTTTGCAAAACTATACTATTTTAGATAAAGATAAAAGTTTCCCTATCCAGTCATGTCCGACTCTAGGGGGCAGTTCTCATCTCCGTTTCTTAGCCAAGGAGCCAGCGTTGTCCAAAGAACCTTCCATGGTCATGTGGCCAGCATGACTATACACCGAGGTGCATGGAAAGCTGTTACCTTCCCACTAAAATGGTACCTATTTATCTACTTGCATTTGCATGCTTTCGAACTGCTAGATGGGCAGGAGCTGGGGAGGAACAGGAGCTCATCTTGTCACTTGGTACTTAAGTCTTGAACTTCCAACCTTCCATTCAACAGGCCCAGCATCCTAACCGCTAGGCCATACATGCCCATACTAATTTATAGGGCAGTAACTTATCTCAGTTCCATATAAATTAGTAATTCTAAGAATTATAAAATAGATGAAAAAGTTCAACTCTACATCTTGTTCAATAAGTTGAAGTTTTTTAAAAAAACCTTTATTGAGTTGAAATTTGACTATGTAGGCCCAGTTTACTGTATTTTCCTTGCAAGCGCTATTTCATTGGCCAAAATCAAATATTAGTTGACTGAAGCCCCAGAAAATGGTCA